CAGCATCTCTGATAATACTCTCAAGTACTTTACATATTATGCTGATCAGGCTCACTGGTCTATAGTTGTTCGTGGAGTGACGATTGCCCTTCTTGAAGATTGGACTCATATAAGCCACTTTCCATTCACTGGGGACCTTTTGTTCATCCAGGCATTTACAAAACAGGATCTTCAGGGGCTCAGCAAGCTCGTTGTACAACTCTCTTAGCACTCTGGGATGCATCATGTCAGGGCCAGGACTCATATGGATCTTTAGCTTTGACAGTTTATTTCTAATACCCCCTTCTGTGAACACAATGTGGGCCAGTGCTGTGTCGAACCGTCTGTCCTCAAACACAGGAAGGTTAATCGAATCCTCTCTTGTGAACACCGAGGAAAAGAAGCTGTTCAATGCTTCAGCTTTATCCTAGTCAGAATCTGCGTAACTACCATCTTCAAGCCTCAGGTCTGATACTCCTACTTGCATTTTTAATTTCGACTTTGCATAGCGGTAAAATGCCTTTGGGTTTGACTTGACCTTGCTTGCAACCAGCCTCTGGAACACATTTTCAGCCCTTCTACACTCTATCTTTGCTTGGTTTCTGGCTCTTGCATACATCCTCCTGTCCTGCTCATTGTTTGACCCAACCCACGTCTTGAATTTCTGGGTTTTCTTCTTAACTTTGTCGACCGCCGCGTGGTTCATGTGTAGGGATCTCCTTGTATTCCTACAGGCACTGGGTTTGGTCTTGGGTATATATTTATCGATCAAATGGGTCACTTTACTAGTTATGATATTCAGCATAGATGTAAGGGCGGTAACGAGCGGGATGGTTGTCCACTGCAAGTTTGCTTGTTCGCGGCCCTACTAGGGAGGGTAGACAAAGGTGAGAGGCTCGCTGCTGCCTTGTCGCACACCAGAGACTAGCCAGCCAGCACCACAGCTGCACTTCCCCCGCTGTTCGATCCAACTCTGGTCGTGTACTCATCTGAGGCTCCTGGGGCTCGTGGACTGATTCCCCAGTCCTTCACTATTTGGCTGTCAAAATCCGGACACCAGCTCCGGATACTACTGTTGCTGCCACGTCATCGCCACTTCCTCCACGCCCTATCCACCGTCCGTGCCCTGGCGTCTCTCCTGTGTGGCAAGACATCGCCCACCAAGTGAGGAAGCTGCTGTGGACCTTCCCCCTGAGAGCGGACCACCGTATTAACGGAACATTCCACCGGGCTGTCGCTGTAGGAAATATCTGTACATTGTTTGACTCCCGTAATTGTTTGACTCCCGTAATTGTTTGATTCCCTTAATTGTTTGACTCCATTAATTGTTTGACTCCCATAATTGTTTATTTGATATTTGTGTGAGTGGTGTTAATTATTGTGATTATTTTCGTAGTAAAGAGATGTCAATCTCTAACAGTTGTTTGTTACCCCTTGGAAACCCATGGTTCTTGACTTTCCTTTTATAAGAACCTGATTAGGCTGGCAAGGGATTTATATCCCAAAGGCCAGGCAATTACAGTAGTGTCTGCATTCTTGTGCCTTAATGAGTCAGGCCAGTTGATACCCCTCATCTCTTCCCTCATCCCGTTGTAATTTCTCTTGTAATATTTGCACCTTGGCCTGGCCTTATCTTGAACTAGGTAACAGTTAAATCTGACTGACAACACTATATGGTGACTGGTGCCAACTGGGGCAAGGTGTTCCAGTTTGGCCACCATACCCTCCTCATTTGTTATAATGAGGTCAGGTGGCTTGGAACAGAAAATTATCTTTCAGAGTTTCTACGAAAAGAGTAGCAGGGTTATTCACGTCATTTGGGGTGAACTCGTTTCTCCAGTCGATGTCGCCATAGTTAAAGTCCCCTGTGATAAGGAGGTGGCTAGGGTTGAGCATCGCCGCATTGACTATTAAGGCTCTTAAGTTTCTTTGATTTAGTGGGCCACAGTTTGGGGATCTGTAGATACACCCGGCGATATGTAAGTCCCCCTCCCTTTAATTTAATTTTACACCACTTGGATTCTTCAAAAACATCCTCTCCCTGTACCCTCACATGGCTGGCTCTAAGGTTTTGCCTAGCATAGATAACCACACCCCTCTTGCAAGTTTCTTGAGAAGGGTTCGTAAATGAGTCATATCCAGCAATACTGAACTCACATTCCTCTGGGTTGATTCTCCTGTTCTTGTACAACAGTTCTACAACTCCCACAATATCTGGTTGGTGTACCTTCAGTAGTGTTTCAAACTCCTCTCTCTTATCAAGGAACGTGTCAGTATTAGTGTACATGACATTCAAGCCAAAATTTGTTCTCGGTAACGTCTCTGCTCTTAGTAGTAACCTCGCCCCCCCACCCCCATTCTCAGAAGCTGCAGCATTTGCTAAGTACACTGTAATTTGCAGGGTGCGGTTAGAAATGTCATTGTGTACAAATTTACACGGTGCTGTGATGGTAACCACAGTAGGGTGTGGTTAGAAATATCATTGTTTACACGGCGCTCGCCTCCTCCTGTCTGATAGGCGGAGTTGGTGCCACCTCCCGGGTGGGGGTACAGCGGGCAGAGGGTGCGCTGCTGCCCCCTGGCCACTGTGTCGGCACACTTGCTTCCACTACCCTCCTCCTGAATATAACCCATGTACAACCATCCCCGTTCCTCCTTGGCTCCTCCCTCTTCTGCTTCAAGCCCTGCAGGAGCTTCTTGTGCTGTTCCTTCTGGATTACCGTGCGATCTGTGTGAATGAATACATTCCGAGATGCCTCGCTCCCTGCTAAGTTTTTTGCCTGCCGAATAACCTCTCATTTCTCCTCCTCGCTCACTAGTGTGATCCTGAGGGGGCGAGGCTTATACCCCTACTTTTGTCCCAGCCTCCTCACATCCTGTGGGGTTGATGGCATCTTCAGAACCTCTGTACAAATATTCTTAAACTGCATCTTATCATGTGTTATCTTACTCTCAGTTCCCTCTGCCTGGCTCTCAGGGACTCCAAAAGCTACTACATTGTTCCTGCATTGGAAACGTTCCTGTTGTTCCTCCTCTCCCTTAACAGTAGGTCCGCTAATTTTCATTTCTTCTACACACTTCTTCAGAGTCCCTAGCTGCTGTAGAACCTTTTCTGATCCTGCATTATTCTCCACCACCCCCCGTGGCCCTGCTAATACCTCAGCATAATTCCTCTTAGCAACCACCTCCATTCTATCGGCTATTTCTTCAGTCTTTGCAAGGATCTCTTTCCAAACTTGCTCTAGCTTGGCAACCAGCAAGGCTCCAGCTTCATCTATTTTTGTCCCTAGGGAAAGCGTTCCCTTATGGCTTGCTATCGCCTCTTTCACCTTGACTATGCAGTCAGGGCAATACAAGCAACAGCCATCATGCTTTACAGCAGTTAGCATCTTCCTAAACGTTGCCTTGCTCAGGCCTGTATCATCCATATCCATCAACCTCCTGCAGTAGTCACATATCATTTATATCCCTCATGGTTGTTGTTGTGGTAGGGGGTGGGGAGGTGCAGACTGTGTATAGATCTACACCTCTTTAAAAATAAAGAAAATAAAACAATACATAGCGGCCCTCTGCTGGTTTTAACCTCCCCTGTTGCCTATTGGGTTGTCTTCTGTTTTTCTTCTCTTCTTTTTATTTTTATTTATTTCAATTCACTTTGGCATTTCTCAGTATCTATGTGCTATCTTTATATACACTGCATTTTGCTATGAATAACGGATTTTATACACCCACTCAATCCTTTAGAAATACAGAAAAATGAAATAAAACTTTCTTTGGGGCAGTAATAGAATGCCTTTAAGGATAGCCAAACTTGTTGATTTCATTTATTTTTTATTTTAACTAGTATTTCCTTATACAGGTACCTGTACTGTACTTTCTTTTCCTGTTCTCATCGACAACTATATCTCTTTATACTATCATTGTGTACACTGTATCTCCCTGTAAATAGTGTATTGTAGGCACAGTTTCAGTCTATGAGAAAGCACACAAACAAACCAGGCAAATAAATTATTGAGTCTTATAAGAAGGTCGTTCAGATATCTAGACGGTCCGTCCCTCGTAACGATCTTCAAGAGTGAAGTGCTTCCCCATCTGCAGTACTGTCACCCCGTCTGGTCCCTGAGATATGCTAGGGAATGTCAGTTGGTTGAAAATGTTCAAAGGAGGGCCACCAGACTGGTGCCTGCACTTCAGCACCTCAGCTACCCTGAGAGATAGGAGCGCCAGAACTTGCCTAGCTTATATTACAGACGGGCAAGGGGTGACCTAGTTGAGGTGTATAAGCATCTCAGAGGGCACTACTCAGTTGAGTGTCCTTACTTGGAGCTGGCGGATGCTCGCCCCACAAGGGGTCACAGCTCAAGATTGAAGAAGCCGCAAGTCCAGAAAACTGTGAAGGCAAACTTTTTTGGAGTGAGGGTTGTGAACTCTTGGAACAATCTACCAGAGAGTGTTGTGACGGCACCGAGTGTGAGCTCTTTCAAGACAAGACTTGACCAACACTGGAGCGGGTTTAGGTACATTCAGGAGCCGGTGCATGCCCAGTATTTGCCAACAGTGATTGACAGAGACATGGCCGATTGCCCGGGCGGCTAGCGAGCTGATCTTTTGGTGAAGAGGATAAATGAAAAGGAAAACTGCTCAGAGACGTGACCGATCGCCCAAGCGGCTAACGAGCCGATCAGTGGTGAAGAGGATAAAAGAAAAAAAAAAATATATATAATTTAAAGTCTCTGTGGCACCTATAACACGACTTGGTTTCAGCTGGCAGTGGTGCGTTTCCAGTTTGCTTGCCAGTTTGTTTTCACTTTAAGTTATTTACAACCTCTTCCGCAGTCACTGATGACACTATGAACTGATTTAACTAAAGGCACAGTAGTCCACTTCCTGGTTGGCCTTTATTACAGAAGCATAGAAAAATTAAGTTACAATCATCTTAAAAAACATGAAATATTTCACATACACTCCTCTATTATCACCTTGAAGCAGTTTAAAAGAGGAAAAAAAAAAGCAAGTCTAACCTCATATTGGCAAAGTGTTGATCCATTGCACCACCATTTGGGAAATTATGCGACATGCGGCCCATTAGATTACAGAAACATGAGTAAGTAGATGCTTCGTCATCATAAATAACAAGAAGTGGTGCTACTAGATCACACATTCCTTGCATGTATCCAGTGTCGAGATGTTCCCATACATATCTGGAAAAAATGCAAGAATTATCAAGGAACAACATATATATTGAGCCTGAGGAGTCTAGTTTCATGGCAGAGAAGGGATTGAGGCATGACTTGTGAGGATTATGACACTTTTTCAGTAAATAACACTTCAACATAGCTATAAAGCTAGAGTGACATTGTAGAGTTTAGTTTCTTAGTCAGGCACTCATATATAGACAGAACCTTATGTCTGATACAGCTGCCTAAACTGTCATGGAATGGGTGGACCTATGGAAGAAAAACTGTAAATCTTTCTACATCCAATAAGTAAACCCCTGAGGCAGATCCTAGGTGGGTGTAGTGGGAGGGAAGTAAGGCAGGTGTGGATGTACTACTCGCTGTACTAGTGGGTCTGTCAGTTCTCTGTTATGCACTATTACAAAGCAACAGTTTATACTCCCATCTTTCCCTAGAATAAAAATGGTTCACCTTTCCCTAGAATCAAATTGGGAAAGTTAACAAAGTAAGGAGATGAGAGTCTAATCTCATATACATTCACTTTATTATATTCAGCAACATTCAGGTTGTTGTGCATGACTAATGTAGTATACAAGAAAGAAATCCACACAATTAAGAATTTACAGAAAAAGATAACAAAACTGGCACCCAGAATGAAAATTCTGTTTTGAAGACTGTCTCAAGAACCTTAATATGCAATCAATGGATAACTGCAGGATACATGGGGATATGAATGAGACTAAAAATCACACAGAGGCTATGTCATGAAGGGGCCATCTACTACTGAGGTTAAATAATGTCAATACAGTTTTAAGCTGTTGAAAACATGTCCACACACCAAACTACTTAATTACATAAGAGAGGAGGAGGCTGAAGTAAAATGGAATGTATGCCTTTTAACCAAAACTGTACTATCTGAGTCAGGGTTTCTTTGGAAGTTCAGCTTTTTCAGGATCTTTAAAGACGATGACTAGAATATGGAAATGAAGAAAGCAGCAACCAATGATTCTAACTGTGTACAAAATTATTTGTCTTCAATGAATTTATGACCACATCCCACAAAATATGATGAGTAGTAAAAGAGGCAACTGCTGAGAATACACGGAGGCCGGATTCACTACCAAGATCAGAGACGTTACCGAGGACTTTGCTGGATAAGAGAGTAGAGTTTGAAACCTTACTCAAGACACATCAATCCATATCGAAGGCATTATAAAACTGTTGTATAAGAACAGGAGAATCGACCCAGAGGAATGTGAGTTCAATATACTGTAGATGAATATGACCCTTGCAAGAGGGATGCGGGTATCTATGCTAGACAAGACTTTAGAGCCAGATGGCGACATCAACTGGAGGAATGAAACCAAATCAAGTGAATTTAATAGTCTTGCTACTCTTTTTGTAGAAATTTCTGAGAGACAATTTTCTATTCCAACATGCTAAAGATCCGACTCACTACAGAGGGGAGCAAACACCCAAACTGCTGGACCTCATCATAACTTACAAGGTATGGTGGCCAAGCTAGAATACTTAGTCCCCGTTGGCACCAGTCACCACATGACATTGTCCTTCAAATTTAATTGTTACTTGGTTCATGATAAGAGCAGGCCAAGCTTCAAATATTGCAAAGGTGATTACAATGGGATGAGGGGTATTCACGGGCCTAACTCACTAAGAAACGAGAATGCAGATACTCTACTATTGTCTTTTAACACAAAGAAGCCATGACTTACGTGCACATAACATTACGCAGCTTCTCAAGGTTGTCTTGAGTAAAATACCAGTAGTTTCGGTCACACCTTTGTACATCTTTGTCAATGCGGTGAAGATTTAATCCAAAAGTTTCTAGTAGTTCCATCTGGTGAAGAGATACAGTATCTCTGTAAAATATCTAAATAAAAGTCTCATAATGCAATGTCGTTTAGATCAGATGAAAAATTTTCTATTTGAAATTTACATGAAGAAACTTACATATCTATTTTCATATTTTGACACTGTTAATGGCCATGATTTCATTGTATGGTCCTCCAATTCACAAAGTATTGGTATACCAACAAAATTTGATAAACTATGTACTCCATTTTAAGACAAAATATGAGAACAAAAAATTAAAGGGGTTTTGCTGTACAATACATCTGTTCATGGAGTACAGTACCATACTCACTGAATAAACTCCTCCTTGAGAGGATGCTGGAGAAATACAAGATGATCTGGATTCCAAACTGTGGCCATCTTGGTTCTCCTCAACTGCTAAAGTATCCTTGTTCTTATGATCATTTCCTGTTTCAGTTTCTGAAGTAACATCTCCATTTTCCTTGACAATGTCTTCCTCACCATCATTTTGAGTGATACCTTTCACTTCATCGTCAGCAGCATTTTCATCTTCCACGCCATTCACTGGAATACATTCAAGATCATTATCTTGAAGTGACACAAACAGCCTCTTCCAAGGTTACTTCAAACTCTGAACTGAAGAAAGTAAGTAATCATTCAAACATGTAAGTACAGGAAAAATGAACAAAAAAGGAAATATGAAATATCAGTAAGAGTAAGACAATTAATAAGAAGAAATTAAATTGAAGGAAATTTGTAATTCAAGGAAAAACAGAATGTTGCATGAGCAAAATGAGTTACAGTCATGGTACAGTACTCTGGAGTTGAAAACTCAACACGTATTATTAAAACGTTTGCAGTACAGTAAATGTCTTAACAGAAGCATATACAGTATCATGATGATACATAAGCATTCCTTGGAGAAAAAACATGTAACAAAGCATTTCATATCACATAAAAATCTATAAAAAATGAAGAAAAAAAGAAAACAAAAGACATGCTGTATTCATTATGAAATACAAAATAATGTTTTGCAAGACACTGAATAATAATGTCAGATAAAAATTATTAATAAATAAAGATATATATTATGCTTTATAAAAATATAAAAAAGAAGCTTTGAAAATAATTTATGGTCATCAAAACGGAGAGGAGTATTGACGGCACTCTGGAGGTGTTCCTCAAATGTGAGAGTTGACACACTGGTGGGACTAAACACATCTTTATCCTTCTAAAGTTCTAATACGATTTTGCGGTGAAGTTACATCCATGAAACAAAAGACTTCCTTGTAATACTGTACTTGTATTAATCTGATAAAATCTAACAAAAAATTAACACATAGTATTTACAAAAAATAGTTTTTGCTGTCAGAATCTAAGAACTAGTATTCCATATGTAAAAAACAAAACAAGTTAGAGCGAACACAAATAAAGGTAATGTACTTTACAGTGATGTGTAAAAGCAGGTATTGAATGTACTTTTGAGACAACTGGAAAGAGCAATAGAGGAATGTGATGGGTAAGAGGAGACGAAGAGGAGGAAATGTAACATACGGGGGAGGTCTAAGTTAAGAGCTCCAAGTATTAAAAAACATTTATTAACAGTGTAGAGTAAGAGACTTGAATGTTAAAATATATTCATTTCTCAGTATGGAGAAGGGAATGTGATTTATCTGCTATTATTAAGAGAGAATACGTAGGGCAGTATGTAATGAAAATAGGTCAATGTGAACCGAAGGTGAACATACACCTTCTTGTTTACACCCAGTAATAGTAACTCATAAGTTAACAGTATGCAACAGTCAAGATGGTCGAAGATTAGTAACAAGAATCTTAAAACAAAGTGGATAAAAGTAGAGACAAAATTTATGAACACAAATGTAAACAAACAATTATACAAAAAGCTAAATTAACATTGAAATGCTAAGGAATCAATTCAATAATGTATCGGTGGAAATAACTGAGAGGAAAGTCTTCAAACAAGATGAAAGGAATAGCATGATGCAGTTAAGATATACAGAAAGTGACAGAAGAAAAGGCAGGATAAATGTTCATATGAAGTGAGGAATAGAAGCTAAATAATAAAGGTTAAAAATACAGCCCACTTGAATACCATGAATAAAATGTAAAAGATGATTTTGGAAAAAGGGGCAGAGTATGTGCAAATTTCTGAGAAAATGCGAATCGGGTAGTTTTAGAGGAAAGGGAAACCTCTGTGAATGGTGCTTTACTTTATCCTCTTTACTAGCTCACAAGTCAGTTGGTTGGTCGGTTAGTTCTTCGTTACACACTGATGGCGAGTACTGAGCATATACAGACTCTTGAATGTACCTGAACATGTGCTAGTTGTGGTCAAGTCTGTGTTTAAAGGGCATCCCACTTGGTGCTGTCACAATTTTCTTTGGCAGGTTATCCAAGAGTTCATGAGTCTTACTCCAAAAGGTTAGCTAAGACAGTTTTCTGAACTGACAGTTTCCTTAATTTAACCTGGGGTTGTGACCTCTATAGGGGTGGCCATCTTATAACTCCAGACTGAGAACAAGAGGACCCCAGTGTGTGGGACCAGCACTAGATGGATATGGTACACTGGACATTGTTGAAAAAACAAATATTTAATTCTTAATTCATTACCAAAAGCATTTTTTAAAATACAAATATCATGCCTAAATGTAAGTACTGTAACATGATCGCAAACTTCCTTATCGGCACTTTTAACATTCTCTTTCACTCATGATATATGAGAGCAGCCAATCGCAATGCACCTCACTGAGCCAATCAGCATACTTCATACAGACTGTATTGGATTTTGAGTGAGAATACAGTACTGTAGTTTGTTTATAAGTTGAGTTCTCTCTGTTGTTACTGTATCCTGCATATTGTGTATTTAAGTAAATTATCAAGCAGAAATAAAGCTAATTTCTGTAGAGTTATGACTCCAAAGTCCATCTTACCACAGTAATGAAAATGACAAAGAGCAAAGAAGTGAAAGTTAAAGTGTTTAATAGTGTGAAATGAGGCATTGGTACCATGGCAGCTGGATGTGAGATTGATCTCGGTGACTCTTCAGTAAAAATAATTATGATGAACAAAGACATAATACACCCTCCTCTCGTCTAACGCGGGGGTTACATTCTTGAAAAAACACTTAATTTAAAACCCAGGAAATTAATCATAATTTTCCCATAAGAATACATGTAAATGGCACAGGTTAGGGGAACCATCGAGTATGAACAGTGCTCTCACTTAAACCAAGCACGCAGCCAACCTCCGACACACGCTCTCCTCTCTGAAGGCGGGTGATCACATTTAATTTCACGTCCATTGTAGTTGTTTTTCGTGCCCTTTTAGCTTTAGGCACCCCAGAGGAGGCAGATGGATGATTTCCAGACATGCTCAATGGGGAAAACAACGTTTAACACTAAAAAGGTACGTGATAAACACACAATGCAAATGAGAGCAGAGAGAAAAAGTAATGCTGGTGTGAACTGAGAAAGTGATACGCGGGAAGCTTGCTGGACGTGGTCACAGTTGTTGTACAAAATACTTCATTATCATCATTACCTTCATCATTAGTAGTAATATCTTTATTATTACATTATTATAATTATTATTATTATTAATAATATTAAAATCGTTGATGTTGATATGACTGCGACTTTATAGTACAGTAATAACTTACAAGCACCTCACCAGGCATCACACACGACTCCACTGCCAGGCGACCAGGTGAATACACGCGGCAGATTTAAACTGTCTTGAGAGCTTTATTTAAAAAATAGGTGCGCGTAAATTAGCTTTTGGTATTAAGTGAACAATCGCGTTATTCCAAAAACGCTTAAATCAAACGCTCGTAAAACGTGAGTTACCTGTACTGTAATGGCCAAGATGATTATTCAAGTACTGTACAGTAAGTCTCACTAAAGTAATATGATCTCCAAGTAGTGTAATGGAGCAAATGTTAAACATTTAGGATGACGGCAGTACAGTATCTCTCTTTTATTATACTGAGGGATTTAAAAAACAAATATAAAGGGAATTAATAGATGTCTGAAGGTGTGACCAGTCTTGGGAATTACCATAAATTTTATTTTGTGGGCATAACTCAATATAGTAACTTATGTACTGACTGTGGTGCCCCTTTAACCCTTTCCAGTTGATTGTTGCACTTTAGAATTTATTCTGGCTATTGTCAGATAATTTTATTCAGCTTTGGGAAACCTCCAGATGTCAAGGGTTAAAGTGGTTATAAGCTTCTATTGATTCCCCCCACCAGCCTTGCCTTACATACTGTAGTATTAACTTGGCAACTGATAATGTGCTTATCTTTCCTGATATGTGAGTAGAAAAAAAAATAGGATGAATAAGATCAAGGAGAATAAATAAAAAGGAAAAGAGGAAGAGGGGAGATAAAACAACAAGAAAGGAAGGAGGATAAAAAAGAAGGGTAAAAGTAAAAAAGGTACAGAATATAAAAAGAAAATATATTAAAAGAGAAAAAGAAGGAAAAGGACAAGAAAAAAAGGAAGAGGAAAATCTATAAAGAATAAGAAGAAGACATCTTTACCACTAAGGTGGATAACTAACCACTGCAATGCCCATCATGTACATTATGATACAAATACCTGCCAGCTGTCTAATATGTCCAACACACAGTGGAAGTATTGTATATGGTCAACTACCCAGAGAAATTTATAATATCAATCTTTCAAGAATTGTCACTGTCTGTTAAGAGGTCAGATCTGAGGTTCAGAGTTGGCACAATGTTTTCTTTGTAAGTACAGGCTTTAAAATCAGTGTTTTGTTAACTATGAATCACTGAACTTAAAAATGTACAAAAATTCAGGTGTACGAAGGAAAGGTAATAATATATCTCTGTAACTTACCTGGAGTTTTGTACACACAGTATTTAGGTTGGCATGACAGAGGCTTTAAGGCCCATCGACAAGTCTAGGAAAAGTGTGTTGTACACATGCTAGGTGCCAGCTGAATATTTCGTCTGGGAGATGGATTTTAACAAAGATAATACTCTATGTGGAAATATTTTGTTATGTTCCGCCTCCAAACACTTGCTTAGCCACTGAGCAACACCTCTCCTCACTCACTACAGTAGGTGAGATGCTTAAGTCATGATGAAAAATTAAACTAAACAAAGGAAATTAACAGTAGCTCAATAGTACAACATAGCAAACTGCCTCAGAAAAAAAAAATGTGACATTCGATTTCTGCTCATGTGTAAGTTTTCACTTATAGTATGATGACTTGTAAATATCCTATGTATTCTGTACAGTACTGTAAAATCTATTGTGTCAAAAACTTGCTCCTCCATACATGTTATATTATCTCCTTCAACTCTTTTCACATAATTCCTGTTCTCCCCTTAACTAGAATTTTAATATTCCTTATACAGCACAGTACACATCATTATGTAATCTTATATCTTATACTGTACTATATATGACTGCATTAGCATTCCTCTTCTCTTCTCATAATTTTTTAATATACAGTAGTCATAATTTTCTTTACTGTCAGTACATTTAACAATACTCATTTCTCTCTCCCTCCTTCCTTCCAATATATACTACATAAATACTGTACTGTAAACTTGAAATCTATCTTCACCAAATTCATGTTTGTTTTTTTACTTAATTCTCAAAATTCTCACAATTACATGCATATCTTTACATTGTTTTGTGTACTGTACTGTACTGTACAAGTATATCCTTCAAAACTTTACAAGGATGTTTTGTGTTAATAGTGGTACACTTGTGTGGCTCCATCAACAAGCTGGCTCATCAGCTAAGCCAACTTTCAGTATTTTCCATCACTACACATTAACACGTCTTATCTGTTATATTACTGTACCGCTTTAGAGAAAAAAATAATTTCAGTTAGTTTACCAAGTGCGTATTAAAAAGAACAAGAATAGTGAAATGATAGATTACAATGAAATACTAAAAATTCCAAATATTTCCAAATGCAATTGTTTTATCGGATATACAGTACATTTGCTTTGCTTTAGTATGTTATCATCATAATATTTCATGGTGAACAACTGGTGTATGTGACTGTTAAAAATTGTTCGCTTGTATATATTGTATATATCCTAACATTTCTTACAAACATTATGTAGTGCTGTACTGTACATGCCAGTAACTTATAGAACCTATGTTGTATCAAATCTTAAATAGAGTTAATATAAGATGTAATATCTCTAGTTTGTTTACAGATGAATATGTATTTTTTGCAGTAAATACCTATACTACATTATTTGTACTGTAAACATTTGTATAAGACACCAATTATAAAGTAAAACTAATATTCAATTAATTTATGCATATTCTGTCTTGTATGGTTGTAGATATGGATTGCAAAGTTGTGTGTGTTTAAAGGTTTTTGGTTTATGCTGCACTTGTATTCTACATCATTGGGTGGACCTCCAAGTATTGTCTTTCCTGCAGAATAAGCAAAATCAAAACATGGCAGAGCTGCGAGAGGATCATAAAGCGGGCATAAGAAACACAATGACTACACACCTACGTCAGAGTGGCTGCCACTGTCTAGGGAGGCTTTGCTAACTATAACTGGGGTGGTGATGGGGGGGTTACATGTCTCCACGGTGAACGAGGCACTAACACAGGCTGCTGTAAGAACGGAAACACTAAAGATACACACAAACACCAATGCTACTAGAGTAAACAAATAAGAAAATAAAGAATGATTGGTGTCATCAGTGCCATTAGAGAAAATTAAATTCTTACAGGGTTTATTACTGCTATTAAAAATATCAACAGCAACCAGTTTATGGATAACTTGAAAATAATTGTAAAAAGATGAACGTTGTTTTATTTCTGCAGGATTAGGTTCAGTACCTTGGTGATTTGGTATAAATCTCAGATGTTATCTCCTATGTGGCTCCATCATTATATCATTATTGTATACAGTACTGTACTATAAATGAAATGCCAGATGCATCACTTCACTTATTGCTGGACTCTTGATTGTTGTATTTATATTACAGAAAACAAACTACCCGGTACTTACTAATTAGTGTTTAGAAGAGAAACCCCTTCTTCTATGAAAAGTAAAATATTGTACCAAAATACTTTCCAGTCTGAAAGAAAACATTCCTCACTACAAATCAGTCTCTTACAAAATTCTAATCAGTTTGAATTTCTTATCTATACAGTAATTGGGCATCAGCTAAACACAACAAATGTAGGATTATATTGGAATAGTATATGATAAATTCATTATTGTAAATATCCATTTGTTGTAATGCAGACCAATAAATCATTAAAAAATTATCTAATGTTTTCCCTTCATCCATTCATTAGTATTCTTATAAATATGTTCTGCTATGGTGTTCCCCACCCATAACAACACCCCAAAACTGGTTTACTCATCACACAACACAAGCCAGCATCACTCTCAAGCGGCACTTTCTTCCCAATCAATCTTTCTAAAATATGTGCTGGTAAACCAGATGACTATCACCAAGTTTTTATGTCCTGTATCTCACAGATTTAATGGCTATTATCTCTATCAAGGTTTCTTACTGCGGTATAAGAAATTAAGTACCTGATGGCACATGCATAATGAACTCTATTACAAATGGTAAAATTTAATTAGTACATTACCAGTAAAAGTGACTATGAGCCATTTGCATCTAGTAGTACTGTAATAATGTACTAGAAATGAGAGTACTGTACTTCTTTTGTATGTTTCAGATGATTTAAAATTTTATACTTGAACAAGCAAGGCATCAGATCTTCAAATTAATTGTAACACATATAAGTCTTGACTAGTTTCCAGGAATGATAGAAAACAAGTACCGCCTGAGAAGATATTGGAAGCATAATGTATTGTCTAATGGTAGACCCTGCTGCCATATGTGACCAAGTCCCAGGTTGCTGATCTGACTTTCTGCCTCATTTACACACAATTACAGGGTCTCAATTGTTTCTCTTACTTTAACAACACAACATACATATATTGATTCTCAATCTTGATTTTTTTTTAATTTTTGTATTTATTTATGGCTCTTTATTATTATTATTATTATTATTATTATTATTATTATTATTATTATTATTATTATTATTATTATTATTATTATTATTAATAATATTATTATTATTAGTAGTAGTATTATTATTATTAGTAGTAGTATTATTAGTATTATTATTACAGTATTATTTATTCTTATATATTTTTATAAATTTTATTACTATTATTACTTTTACTTTTATCCTCTTAAGCCACTGATCGGCTTGTTAGCCGCTTGGCGATCGGTCGCGACTCTTTTCCTTTATATTCTTCACCAAAATTCGCTAGCACGCCAGGCGATCGATCACGTCTCTGTCACGCACTGTTGGCAAATACTGGGCATGCACCGGCTCCTGAATGTACCTGAACCCGCTCCAGTGTTGGTCAAGTCTTCTCTTGAAAGAGCTCACACTCGGTGCCGTCACAACACTTTCTGGTAGATTGTTCCAAGAGTTTACAACCCTCACTCCGAAAAAGTTTGCCCTCACGGTTTTCCGGACTTGCGGCTTCTTCAATCTTGAGCTGTGACCCCTTGTGGGGCGAGCGTCCGCCAGCTCCAAGTAAGGACACTCAACTGAGTAGTGCCCCCTGAGATGCTTATAAACCTCAACTAGGTCCCCCCTTGCCCGTCTGTAGTATAAGCTAGGCAAGTTCAGGCGCTCCAATCTCGCAGGGTAGCTGAGATGCCGAAGTGCAGGCACCAGCTTGGTGGCCCTCCTTTGAACATTTTCAACCAACTGACAGTCCCTAGCATATCTCGGGGACCAGATGGGGTGACAGTACTCCAGATGGGGAAGCACTTCACTCCTGAAGATCGTCACGAGGGACGGACCGTCTAGATATCTGAACGACCTTCTTATAAGACCCAATAATTTATTTGCCTGATTTACCTTCTTCTCACAATGGCCCGAGAACTTCAGCTCATTGTCAACATACACACCTAGGTCCTTCTCACACACAGTCTCAACTAGTACATTTTCTTCATCCCGTTGGGACATATGGTCCTTACCGTTGGTACGCCCCAGGTGCATCCTCTTACACTTCGTGACATTGAATCTCAGCAGCCATTCCTTCGACCATTCCTGGAGCCCACAGAGGTCCTTCTGCAGCTCTTCACAGTCCGCTTGGTTCTTAATTTCCCGAAATAACTTGGCGTCATCGGCAAACATTTGTATGGAGGAGTGTACAACGTCAGGCATATCATTTATGAAACAAACAAACAACAGCGGGCCCAATACACTACCCTGCGGTACCCCACTTGTTACAGGTACAGATGACGATTTCGTGCCATTAATCACCACACATTGCTTGCGGTCATGTAGAAAGTCTTCTATCCACGCTAGGACATTTCCCCGAATTCCGTACCCTTCCAGTTTGATTTTCAGCCTTTCGTGGGGTACACTGTCGAAAGCCTTGGCAAAATCTAGGTAAATATTGTCGATATTACCACCCCGTTCTAGAATATGGGTCCAAATATCCAATACCTTGAGCAATTGTGTCAAGCAAGAGCGCCCCGGCATAAAACCGTGTTGGCAATCTTTTACAAGGTTGTTTCGTAGTAGATGTTCCATCGCTGCATCTCTGATAATACTCTCAAGTACTTTACATATTATGCTGGTCAGGCTCACCGGTCTATAGTTGTTCGTGGAGTGCCTATCGCCCTTCTTGAAGATAGGACTCACATAAGCCACTTTCCATTCACTGGGGACCATTTGTTCATCCAGGCATTTACAAAACAGAATCTTCAGGGGCTCTGCAAGCTCGTTGCACAGCTCCCTTAGCACTCTAGGATGCACCATGTCAGGTCCAGGACTCTTATGGACCTTTAGCCTGGACAGTTTATTTCTAATACCCTCTTCTGTGAACACAATGTGGGTCAGTGCTGTGTCGAACCGTCTGTCCTCAAACGCAGGAAGGTTAGTTGCATCCTCTCTTGTGAACACTGAGGAAAAGAAGCTGTTCAATGCCTCAGCTTTATCCTGGTCAGAATCTGCGTAACTACCATCTTCAAGCCTCAGGTCTGATACTCCTACTCGCGTTTTCAATTTCGACTTTGCATAGCGGTAAAACGCCTTTGGGTTTGACTTGACCTCGCGTGCAACCAGCCTTTGGAACTCCTTTTCAGCCCTCCTACACTCTATCTTTGCTTGGTTTCTGGCTCTTGCATACATCCTCCTGTCTTGCTCATCGTTTGACCCAACCCACGTCTTGAATTTCTGGGTTTTCTTCTTAATTTTGTCGACCGCCGCATGGTTCATGTGTAGGGATCCCCTCGTATTCCTAGAAGCACTGGGTTTGGTCTTGGGTATATATTTATCGATCAAATGGGTCATAATTTTATTATTATTTAATTGTATTTTTCCCCCCAGGCCTTGATGTGGGTCATTAAAAATGACCTGTGCCCGGGTGGGCTTATGCTTGTAAAAAAAACAAAACAAGGAATAAATAAGTTAAGACAAGTGAATTAAAAAAAAAAAATTATGAGAGTTCAGTAAAAATTCACCTCAGACAACCACTCATCTCAACTGTGTCTATACAAAATGGGAAGTGGTTGTAGTACTGCTCCCTGTAACATGGCATAAACAATAGACCTAAAAATTGGACTAATATGGTAATGCATCTTTACTCTTAGAGAGAGCCATCCTTGATGTCACACTATTTCAGATCAATGAGTATGGTATACAGTACAGTAATATTTTCAATAGCCGGAATTTAAATATGCTTGGAATTTTTCCGGAAAATTCCCTAAATTCCGAGGTTAAAAATCAGAAGCATTTTCTGGAGGGAAAAAAAAAAATCCAGGTCTGGGAGCAAATATGGATTATGAAATAATGCTCAATTACCGGAAAATATGAGAAAATGGCGAGAAAATCACTCCAAACCTTTCTGCTCAGGGCCTGGGGACAACGGTTCTCGGCATTATGAAAGATTATGCCATGTTTAGCCACATCATCACGTGGTTGGTGGGAAGACCAACCTTTTGGGTAATGCTGGATTTTTCTGCTCTGGGTCTATATATAATTACTGTGCAAATATAAATAGTCATTTGTGCTACAACATGATAGTTGTGTTCTTGTGAAATCTCGTGCTGTAGAAATTCGCACAATAAAAATAACAGGGCTTATGGAGAAAATAGGGTTAGGTGCATATTACTTTGGCCGTGATCTCACAGATTTGCTAGCACTCAAGCTTGTTCCAGTAATAGTGTTATAGCCTTTCTTTTACGTTCACCACCGGCAATTCGATCACCAGAACGCTTCTTGGAAATTTTCTTCTTATCTTGTCTTTCCATATTCATGGCTAACACAACAAAATTGGAGAAAACAGCAAAAATCACGGACACTTCACAAAGAAATCAACAGAAACCGCACGATTCAACTGATCATGTGATGTAAACAGAGAGCGCTGGTATAAACCGTTATTAGTCCTCACTACGAAACATTCTTTTTACTTATTATTTTCATACAGTATTTATGGGTAACAGCTAAATTTGCAAAAAAGAACGAAATTTACAGAGTACCTCTCAAAAAACACTTCACAAGCAAAACACACGAATCAATTAAACATGTGATGTCGAACGTGAACTGTAAGCATT